CTGCTCCCCAGGGCACCTCGCCAGTACTGGGCAGCACAGTAGCCAGACACATGTGGATGAACAGATGCATTTCAGGTAACACCGATGGGCTCTGCTGCGCTGGGCAGCTCAGGGCCCTCTCACTCACATTCCCAAAGCACTGTAGGCTCCTGTAGCTGATCCCGGGTTGATGTAGAGTTTGTTTTCATGCTCAAATACTTCATATCTGTGCGTGTGTCCTGAGATGAGAATGTCCACGTCTAGCTGCCTCTGCAGCAGTGCCAGGCTGGCTGCATCGCCCCAGGGAATAACTTGATGGCCATGAATCAGACCGATTCGGAACTGCCCGACAGTTACAACTTTCTCTTCGGGATAATTCAGGCTCTGAGAAGGAGAAAGGTACAGCCTATAAATCAGCCAAAGACCCCTCACCTATGCAATGCAGGTTCCTGTGTTCCAAGACACAACCCCCCCTTCTGCTATTTGAGCACACAAGGTCTCTTTCAACTTGCGGACCCCCTGGATGCTTCTACCATGCCTCAACAAGAGCAACTGCAGTGCAAAGAGCAGGGCTTTTGCACAAAGACCAGGAGCCTCAAGGCTACCCACTGGTAACTAAACACACACACAAGCCCCCAGTTCCTGCAACCACACAGCCAGCTGGGGAACTCCAGTGGCCTCACAGCAATCACAGACTTGTGCCAGAGTTCGTATGAACCAAGCGCACATATTACCCTCCCACAGCCAGCCCCCCCTGCTGCAAGCACAACAAGAAGGGTCTAGAAAATAATTTCATTTCTTCCATCTTACTCCTCCCTGCTTCCTACCCTGGTGAATTGCTAATGCTGAAGGACTCCCCAGGTTTCATGGAGACAACCACAGCACGTGGGAAGGCAGGCTGAGGAACGAACAGCAGCGAGAGCGTTACCTCAGAGTCCCCCCTAACAACATGGATGTCCCCGGCCAGCGTCCTGAGGTAGTCATAGCTCTCCTTGGTGCAGAGGTTTCCTGTACATAAGATGTGCTGAATCTTTCCTGGAACCAGCAGCTTCTTGAACTTCACCGGTAGGCCGCTGCAGCGGTGGGGGATGTGAAGGTCCCCCAGCACTAACACCAACTTTGCACACAGCAGGGGGAAAGAGAGAGTATTAACCTAACGGTTACCGAACAGAACGGCACAAAACCTTCCTGCT